AGATAGATAGATAGATAGATAGATAGATAGATAGATAGATAGATAGATAGATAGACAGACAGACAGACAGACATTATCAGTGTAAAAATGTATAAATAATGCTGCCATATCCTGAAATATTGAACCATACCTATGAGGCTTTCCTATTGCTAAACTGAAATGCTATCTTTCCTCCCCTTACTGAATCCACATGAAATTTGCCTTGCCTTGGAAGTCTGAAATAGCGTCAAAAGCTACCCTAAACTTTTCCAGCAGTTTATCAGTGATTGTTGTTCAATTGGTTTTAGAGCGGGAAAAGCATATGCTTAAAGAGAAATATGAGCATAGATGATTTTGCACTAAAATGTTCATGTTGTTCTAAGTCACTTATAATTGGATTTCTGCAATAAGCCATTAAAAAAACTGATTTTTTTTCATGATTATGAGTCTGATATGCCTTATTATGAAAACAATCCATTTGCCAAGACTGAGTATCTTTCAGTGTAACATGACTACCTACAACTGCTGCACATCAGACTTTAGTACATAGTAGTATCATTTCTGGCAGGCAAACTCCAAAGCATCTATGTATATAAATATGGACCATGCGAATCTGCAAAATGTTATATAATCTATTATTGGTATGTAAACAGCCCAACCTTAATTTCATGCAGCCTAATTCTATTATTGTTTCTTAATAATAGGCTAACGTGTTCATTGGACATTCTTCCTGAATACACATGAAGTAGTATTGTAGTGTAATTGTTATTTAAGCACAGGTTACAACAAAGCTTCCATGCCATGTTAACTAGGTTTGAGCTACCTCTATAGAATCTAGCAAAATGTGTTAAGAACTGTTACACTGAATTTGTAGGTGAGATTGGTTTTTCTCCTGAATTTTCTCCTGAATTTCCAAGTAGAGAGAGAACTTTAACCAGCTACAATAACAACATTGTAGCTTCTCTGTAGAGTCAGTTGAATGCATGGGAAGAAGGCAGCAGATTGCTTATTCCCTTTCATGAGTTCAAGCTGACCATAGAAATGGTGCATAGAAACACAGAATATCTTTGGGTATAAAGGCCCTAGGTGACACCCCTCATCCTTCCTGAAGGTACATCTTTTTTTCCCCTTTCACCTGGAAAAGTGAGGGATTGGCAAAGTCAGAATCATGGAGCCACTTTTTCAAGGAACTGTCAGAAAGTTGAAATGTCCAAGAAACTTCATTCTTCTCACCACTGCAGCTGGGAAAGATCAGGCAGAAGCAAAATCAACTGAGCCCCACTGCTTCAAGAAACATAGTGTGTCTTAAAAATGACAACTCCCAGGAAGATGGAGGCTTTCCAGCCTTGGAATGGAGAGATTCTTCATTTCATGTCAATTAACTGGACAATATATGTAATTTTAGAACAATATTTTACACATTCCCTCATTTCGGTAATCTGATGTACTGAAAATGGTATTGGACAGATATTTTCTTAAGTAAGAATAGGTTTTCTGTTTACATGACACATGTCCTCTTATTCATAATTTCATCAGTTTACAGATCTGCTGTTCAAAACCATCAGCCTCAAAGAGATCAGAAGATGACAAGTCATTGCAAAATAAGCAATGTTGAATTGATTCCTAGGTGAGATGGTTCCAACTTGCCTCTTCCTAAACAAGCCATTGCCGGATCCAACAGTGTTAAATATTTTTTAATCAAGCTTCCCTCTCTGGAAAAGGCTGTTGAGAAGGTAGTCAGTCTGCCAGTTAAGAGGACCCTAGAGACAGATGCGGTGGCTCAGTGTCTAAGAGCTTGTCAATCAGAAAGGTCGGCAGTTTGGCAGTTCGAATCCCTAGCACCGTGTAACGGAGTGAGCTCCTGCTACTTGTCCCAGCTTCTGCCAACCTAGCAGTTTGAAAGCATGTAAAAAATAAAAGTAGAAAAATAGGGATCACTTTGGTGGAAAGGTAACTGCGTCGGTCCCTACGGCATTTAGTCATGCTGTCCACATGACCATGGAGATGCCTTCGGACAGCACTGGCTTTGTAACAGAGATGAGCACCACCCCCTAGAGCTAGAAACGACTAGCACGTATGTGCAAGGGGAACCTTTACCTTTACCTAGAGAACGATGATACATTTCAATCCTAAGCACAGTGCTAAATTGGTATTGATCACACTTAGTGACAACCTAGGGCAAGGCCAGGATGGGAGTTGTGCATCCATTCTGGCCCTCCTTAATTTCTCAACAGCTTGATCTACCATCAATCAGAAATTAAGCTTAACAGGAAATCAAACAAGCTTTAGCTTTGAGAAGAGAATGGAGTACATCAGGGTTCCCCGACTCTCAGACCATGGACTGGTACTGGGATGTGGCATGCCAGAAACCAGGCCACACAAATAAGTGAAGCCCCATCTGCAGGATACAGGCAGCATGCAAAACCATGCCCCCTCCAGTCTATGGAAAAATCACACTCCACAGAACCAGTCCCTGGTGTCCAAAAAGTTGGGGGCTTCTGGAGTACGTTACTCATTATTCAAAGAGCTGAACAGAAGTCACACAGAAGATCTATATCTGCCTTTTTATTTTCAATAGAAATTCTCTCATTTCCAGAGTACAGGACATGGAATAATAAATTTCAATTATAGGAAGGCAGATTCCTATAGTTTAGTTATCCAGAATGAGATAGACTTCCCTTTCCTGGATATGCTTAAGCAGAGGCTATATCTGTTGTGACAGTTTTTAATTTGGATTCTTGCTCCAAGCAATGAAGCGGACCACTGGCTGAGGAACTCTGAGAGTTGATGTCCACAAGTCTTAAAGTTGCTAAGTTTGGAGGCTCCTGGAATGGATTCATTGGACATTTCCACCTGTATGATTTGATAAGCCCATAACACATACACACACATTTTAAAACACATTGAAAATTCAGTACACAGAGGGGTTTTAAAGACCCTTGTTCTACTACTGGGTATTATAGTACCAAATGCACGTCTTTCTAATTTAGAGCAGGATCAAAGGGTAATCAAATTAATCCCTTTGGAATATGGAATTTCACACCCACTATTTGACTATTGTTATCCCAAATTGCACAAAACTGGAACGGTGGGTAGAATTCTATTTTCACTAGCACTAAAATAATGCCAGTCTTCCCCTTGGTTTGAGATGCTATCGCTTTATTTCGATTCAAGTTGCTTTCTTTGTCAATTTTCTGCTCACTTTTGAAACAATTACAACATTGCAGTAAATATCATTCCTCATCTGGCCTTGACATCAGCAATAGATTACAGTAAAAAAAAAATCCATTGTACTGTACTGAAAAAAAGGAAATCATTGCTTAGAAAAACAGGGTGATGAATCTTCCTAGAACCCTAAACTTCCCGTTTTCCACATCATTAGCAATATACCTGATAAAAGGACCTTCACCTGCTTCTCTGATCGATGATAGGGATCTTATGCTGAGTAGCGCGAGCTATAGAAGCAGCAATATGCTTGCACTGTCATAATATAAAGTACTGTAATATTTGCACAAATTTAAAATATAAAGAATAAATAGTGAAATAAAATTAAATTAACAGCTGCGTAAGGTCCTCAACTGGGTTATTTATTTATTTGATTTGTTTTGATTTGATTTGTTAATCACTTACAAGATAATAGGTATAAGTATAAACATGAGTAAGAATACAGGAAATAGGTACGAATAAATGGGGACAATAGGACAGGGACGGGAGGCACAATGGTGCACTTATGCACGCCCCTTACAGACTTCTTAGGAATGGGGTGAGGTCAATCGTGGATAGTTTGAGGTTAAAGGAGTGGGGGTTTGAGGATGTAATAACAGAGTCAGGTAGTGCATTCCAGGCATTGACCACTCTGTTGCTGAAGTCATACTTTCTGCAATCAAGTTCGGAGCGGTTAACATTGAGTTTGTATCTGTTGTGTGCTCTTGTATTGTTGCGATTGAAGTTGAAGTAGTCATTGATGGTAGGACATTGTAGCAGATAATTTTGTGTACTATGCTTAAATCCAACCGTAGGTGGCATAGTTCAAGATTGTCCAAGCCCAAAATTTCAAGCCTGGTGATATATTCTGTTGC